TTCCAACCAAACAACAGACAGGCATATGAGTTGAACATTTACCTTAGGTAGATACACTCCTTGGAGAGAACAATCATGGGAGAAAGAAGGGCTGCTTATGCACAGGGAGACAGCTCAGGGGGCAGCAGTGCATGGAGGGATGGACACAGGGAAGAGGTAACTATGGGGAGGAAGTAAGAGGGGAGCTGTTGCATTATGGTAAACTGTGGTCAATGTCATGAGACAAAGTATATGTGAACTGCTGTATGGAAAGTGAATTTGCTCTGTAAATCTTCACCCAAATCACAATTTAAAAAGACAAAACAAAAAAAACTTCTTGATCACACCTGGACCTAGTCACTGGCATCTAAGCCTAAGATGTTTCAATAAAAATAATTGTATTTGCTCCTCACATCTTGTGAGTTCATCCTATCATCTCAATATATTTAGTATTTCCCTTTTATCCCTATATTATAGATTTTTACCTTCATTTTCTATTTTATTTCATTAATCTACATTGTTTAAAGCACTCCCATCAGTACAACACAGAAGATCCTACAGGGATCTACTTTAATGGTTGAATAGTTATGAGCTCTTATTTGTTTAGTCACCATTTGATACTAAAATTGACATTAGATATAAGATTTAAAATAATTCTATAATCTATTTTACAAAAATTAAAGCAATCAGAAATAACTGAGGCTGAGATGAGAGCAAGGGTGGTAACATTTTTCTGACAGTATTACTTCCCAAGGCTTTTGCAGATCTCTCACCATATATCCAGCTGCTAAAAGCCAAAAAGTCTAGGAGTCATACAAAGTATCTCTTTTCTTGCATATCCCTCTGCCCAATCCACCATCCAATCCCATCAATAAATCCTGTTAGCTCCTCATCCAAGATATTTGGAATCTATCTAATTATCTGCACTCCAAGGCCTGTTGGAACAACCTCCAGATTGGCTCCAGGCATCCATACTTGACCAACCTCTAATTATGTCTCCATACAGCAGAGATATTTTAAATTATTTCCACCTTTGGACTGTTCCCTCCTGTGTCTAGAGGGTTCTCAGTATTAGTGGCTCTTTCTCCCTCATTCCAATCTCAGACTTAATGCCATTTCCTCAAAAGCAGTACTCCTTCACCACACTAACTGAAGTGCCAACTATTCCCCTCCCCTACCACCATAACTATCTGTCATATCATTACCTTCAGAGAACTTCTATGCACAATTTTTGCTTCGTTTACACTTTTCTGTCTCCCTTACCATCATCATTCTCTATTCATTCAACAAACACTTGTTAACCTTATTTGTGTCATTTTTAGTGTTAATCCAAAAACTAAAACCAAACTCACTGCCGGGGAGTTGGATCCAACTCATAGGGACCTCTCCTTGGGTTTCCAAGGTGGTATCACTACAGAAGTAGATTGCCCAACCTTACTTCTGAGGAGTGGCTGGTGGGTTTGAACTGCTGCTAGTCTTCTGGTCAACAGTCAAATGCCTTAGGCACTATGCCAACCAGAGGGATACACTAATGAACAGACAAAATTCCTGTGCTCATGGAGTTTACATTCTGTTTGGGGATGTCACCAACAAACAAAATAGATAAGAAAAACATATAGTATGTTAGAAAGTACTAAAAAGAAAAAAAGCATGGAAGGGAGATAAAATGTTGTGAGCAAGGAGATGAACAGAAGACTTCAATGAGAGCGTGTCATTGAAAATATTAAGAAAGTAAGAGAGCTTACCATGTTGTTATCTGGGGGAAAGAATTCCAGACAAAGAGAATTATTAAGTACAAAGGCCCTGAGGCAGAGATCAGGTCTCACACATTTGAGGAACAGCAAAATGACTGTTTGGCTTGATGAATGGGGAGCAGTTAACTGTCATATCCTTTGCGCTTAAATTAGTGTCTAGCACATAGAAAGAAAAGGAGCTCTGGTGATGAAGTGGTTAAGGCATTTGTCTGCTAATCAAAAGATTGGTGGTTTGAACCCACCGATGAGGCCATCTGCTTTCATAAAGATTTAAAGCCTTGGAAACCCAGTGTGGGTCACTATGAGCTGGAATTGACTAAGTGGCAAGTGAGTGAGTGAGACAGAAAAAACTCAAGTATTTCTGATTGACAATTGCACAGAAGCAATGTAGGCATAAATATATATATAGACACACACACACACACACGTTATTAGAAGGGACCATTCCCTGAAGAAGGATGTCATGCTTGAGGAAAGAGAGGCGGGCCTCAACGAGATGGACCGACACAGTGGCTGCAGCAATGGGCTCAAGCACAGCAGGGATCGTGGAGCTGGCGCAGGGCCGGGCGGTGTTGCATTCTGCTGTGCATAGGGTCCCTATGAGTTGGCGATGACTCGACAGCACCTAACAACATGTATATATGTATCTTAAAGAAAGATATGTTACTATTTCATACCTTATAGGGAAACATGAACTGATTTATAAACTGTACAGAAAAACAAATAACAGCATTACTTAATCCTAAAGGAAGAGGTTTTTAATCAGTTCTAAATATTTTTCCTGGCAATATTCTGCTTTGGGTTAAAATGTTACTGAATTATCACTGGTCTCAAGTCCCCTTTTCTACTTATGTTCTATTAACAACTGCTTTCCTGTACTTCATGATTCCTAATTAACTTCCTATTTCATATGCTATCTCTTAATTTTTGTTTTAGTATTTTTACCTTACCTAGTACTCTCTATTCGTTATTAAAAACAGTTACAAAGACACAAACAAAGTAAATTGGTGACTTTAAGATGTGTTAGCAAAACCCACCCCATGCTGTGTCCATTCTCTAGTTTCAAATCCTCTCTCTCTAACCCTAACCCTCAGAAAAAACCTAACCCTATGTGACCTACAATCTTAGTGAACTAGGCAGCAGAGGATCTAAAGAGTGGATCTAATAAATAACAGCATTCTTAGTTTTATATTAAAAAAATTGTCAAGCACTGAATTCATGTTCTTGTGTTCTTACAGGCACTTTTCAGGTTAACCCAATTCTGTGCTTAAATATAATAAAGGGTTTCTTACACTATTGAAAATATAGAATGATTATTTAAAGGAGAAAAACTTCAGGCATGATTGCAGATTAAGAGTGGCCAATATGTATTATGAAATTTAACCCTTAAAAATTTTCAGGAAATAAACACTAATTTTTTATGCTTCACAATTTAAGAACTTCTTGAACAGCAAGAAATATGTTTCCAAATGAATTCTGATGAAATTTTTACTCCCAAATTTCCCATTTCTACAATGTACTCTAGCTTACTGTTTCTACTAACAGCTATAACTACCTGACGTTCACTTTTAAAATACAACAACAAAAAAGTCTATGCAGGAAACAATGAACTACTAAACTTCTAAATGTAAGCAACATTTCTAACATTAAAGGTTATTATACGGCAATGATTTATAAATTACAAACCATTGTAGTATAAGTCAAATACAAATAATGACTATAAAGAAGAAAAAATTGTGATAGTCCCTAAACACATTCTTATTATTCCATTTGATGTTTAGATCAAACACAAAAATCTATTTTCTAAGCTTATCACCAAAAGCATAAACCATTAAACATACTCCAAAACAGCATTTATAATACGATATTTAATAGAATATTTTCTTGGTGGGATTATTGGTGACTCCTTTTTATTTATCAATATTTCTAGTTTTTCTAAAATGAATATATAATTTTTTCCAAAAGTCATTAGATATATGAAAAATCTTTCTAGAAGGATACAAATTTTTACCATTTGTTGCTTTTTTAAAGAACACAGGTTTTAAAAGAACTTATTCAATTACTTGTCAAAATCAAATTCAAACAACTTCAGATCTTAATAAAAACATTGCTTGGCCTTTTACGATTCACGTAGAATAGCATTTAGTAACTAAAATGGATTATACTAATTTATTAAGACATTATTCTGAGGTTACGACATATGAATTAAGATTCTCCAAAATTAAGACAATAAAGAACATAATTAAATGGTAATTTTTGACTGCTAATGTTTAAAAATCAAGAGGAAAAAAAAAAACCTTCATTCTGGTCAATAATTGGGTGGGGAGCAGGGCCATCACCCTCATCCAAAAAATATTTTACAGCCATTTCCCCTAAAAGCAAAAATAACCCACTGCCATCAAGTTGAGTCCGACTCATTATGACCCTGAAAAGCAAAAGAGCTATAAAACATTTTAATGCAAAGTAAGTTTATCATGACAAATGTCAGCACCTAGCCAATCAAATACTTAATATTTCAAGAATACACTGATAATTCCAACTCATAGCAACCCTCAAAGACAGAGCAGAACTGCCCACAGGGTTTCCAAGGCTGCAATCTTTACAGAAGGAGACTGCCACATCTTTCTCCCAAGGAGCAGCTGGTAGTTTGGAACTAACAACCTTTCAGTTAGCAGCCAAGCACTTTAACCACGTGCCATCAGAGTCATTAAGTCATTTTAAATCTTCCTATATGAAAAATTTATTCTATTCTTGAAGACCAGAGTAAAAGACTAGTAGAGTATATAAAACTCAGTCCTTATCTTAACAAAGAACAACTAAACTAACAGCAAGAAATACAGGCCTATTTAAACTTTTATATAGCAAAATGAGAACACTGTTCAATTCTTCATCTTAGGTTTTATACTAGCAAATAATAAAGATGCACCTCCCATATACTGGAACTTACGCAACAAATAAAAAAGAGAAGGAACCTGGTTTATACTGTAATGGACTGATCTCCAAGATATTTTTAAGTGAAAAAGAGTATAGAACACAATGAATTTAACTTCGCATTAAAAGGAAGGGAAATGCATGTATATGTATGTACTCTTTTTGTGTGATATATAAATAAACTGCAAATACTCGGGCTATCTCTGAGAAGGGTAGCAGGAAAGCTCAAAGATAGTAACAACAGAAGCTTTCCTTAGTTCACCCTTTTCTATATTCAGAATTTTGAGCAATGTGAATGTATACTTATCCAAAAAATAAATATTTAAAGTACTTTACCTTGCACCATTGTTCCTAATGACTTCAACAGTTTCTTCAACAAAATATCGGTCCTTGACATACGCAAAGATATCATCACAAATTTCATGTAAGCGTGAACGATGGGTAAGGTTGGTCAAGTATAAAACTGGAATAATTAGTGGTTCTGGAAAACTCTGAAGATTCTGTCTTGCTTTTTTTTCTGACTCAAGTGCTTCCTGATAGGTCAGTCCTGGTCTGCCCGTCACAGCACAACTCCACACAAGGCTGTTGCACAGAATGGTTCGTTCAAAAAAGTCACTGGTTGAAAAACAAACAAACACATTACTTATAATTTCAAAAATTTTACATTAAAAAATTGAAAAGAATATTGTGCCTTTATTGCAAAATTTTACATATAATCTTAGAACTCAAACAGGGTTTGGTAAGTGGTAAACTTACACATTGATACAAACCTAAGAAAAAGTATATTTAAGGCAGACATTTATAGCTTGCAATATAAGGGTACAGTTAGCCAAAACTGGACTTTAATTTTCATCGGTTTTGAAATTGGGAGTCATACTGAAAATAATAATAATGCAATCATTTCATTTTCCTTCTAATTAAAATTTTTTTTTTTTTGCTTCAAAGCAGTCAATTCAAGCAGTTAACTATCAATTTTAAAAGGCTTTAACATAATAGTGAAAAACCAGAAAATTTAAGTGTCCAAAAAAGTAGAAAATTAACTAAATTATAGAACTTCAATATAATAAATCATAGTCATTAAAAAGTATAAGGAGAGTTCTTACATAACATTTTAATAAGAAAAAAAAAAACTGTATTTTGATTTTTACCTCAATGGTAGTGGGTTTGGGGTATATCTTTTAAAAGGAGCTCTGGTGGTATAGTGGTTAAAGCATTCAGCCTACTAACCAAAATGTCAGCAGTTCAAACCCACAAGCCACTCAGTGGGAGAAAGATGAGGCAATCTGCTTCTGTGAAGATTTACAGCCTTGGAAACCCTATGGGAGAATTCTATTTTGTCCAACAGGGTTGCTATGAGTCAGAATGGACTTGATGGCAATGGATTTGGATACACGTCTTGAAAGTAAAAATTTACTAACATAGTATATATATTATGGTTCCATTTGTGTTAAAATTCAAGAGACCTACAATATGGAAAGATTTCTAAAGCATATTGAATAGAAAAGACTCAAATCACTGAATAACACAATTTCATGTACATTTATACACATACTATAAATAGAAGATAAAAGCAGGACTAGGAAGGAATGAAAACTTTTTTTTCTTATTGTAAGCATTTCTAATAGTTCTAATTTTTGCAATGTGCATGTCTTTATGTATTATTTTACAATATTTTTACAGTAGAAAAACCTAGACATGCAAAAATATAAACAATGCCTGCCTCCAAGTATTAAAAACCCACTGCCACTGAATCAATTCCAACTCATACCAACCCTAAAGGACAGAGGTGAAACTTCCCGTCGGATTTCTAAGGGCATAAATCTTCACTGAAGCAGACTGCTTCATCTTCCTCCTGCAGAGCAGCTGGTGGGTTCAAACCACTGACTTTTGGTCAGCAGCCAAATGCTTTAACCATTACGTGACCAGAGCTCCCTCTAAGTGTTAAGGTATGGGTAAATTATTTTCCTTCCTCCTCTATTCTTTGGTGTGCTGTTCAACATTTCTGTAATTATATATAACCAATATAGTTAATAGTCATTATTCTCTTAACTTTCCTTCCTAAAATCCTTTTTCCATCTCCCATGATTGTAAAAGTATTAATATTGCTAAATGTTTACTTCTTGCAAGATTATTTTGTATGTCTATAGAACAAAAAAAAAAAAATCTAAAGAAATAGAAAGTAAGAAAAACTAATCATACCTCAACATAAATAAGATCTAGAGAGATGACAAGTATATACAAGTTACATGACTCTAATTCATTACAAAGAAATCCTTTTAAAGTATGTACCCCTTAATAGGGGAGCTCTAGCATAATGCCTAAGGCAATTGACTGCTAACCAGAAGGCTGGTGGTTCAAGCCCATCAGCCACTCCTTGGAAGGAAGGTTGGGCAATCTACTTCCATTGTGATACCATGTCAGAAACCCATGGAGGGGTCGCTATGAGTCAGGTCCGACTCAACGGCACGTAACTACAATCCCTTAATAGAGGAAATAATGGATGCATGTCATTTCACAATGTGAAAAGTGATTTATAAGACAAAGACATATATCCTACAGGAGGAAAGGAAGGAAAAGAGGAGGGAATAAAACACCAGAACATACTAGAGCATTATATCTTAAAGAAAAAGTACAACTGAAGAAAGTAATACCAGAGAGGAAAAGGTGAATGTAATCTGGTTTAAAAAAATCTGTCAAATCAATAATTTATTAGCAAGAGACAACAGAAATAATCAATTGGTTTGCCAATAGTACAGACTAAATGAATGGATGGCTTGCAAAAGAGGTCTTAAGTTTTACTGCCTGAAACTGCAGTCTCACTTAGAAAGTTTTTTAAATAGTAAAGTTTTTTCCTACAGAAACAAACGTATCTGTCAGACTTAACTTCCCAAGCCAACACATCTCATATGATGTACATGAAGTACAGTTACATACCTACGGTTTATATACCTAGTACTGCTGAAGAAAAACATACTTCAAGTCTAGATATCTTACACAGTAACTAGTCTCTAAACCAGTGGTCATCAGGAGCCTTGGTGGCATAGCGCTTATAGCGCTGAGCTGCTAATCAAAAGGTCTACAGTTTGAATCCACCAGCTGCTCTGCAGGAGAAAGATGTGGAAGTTTGATCCCATAAAGATTTACAGCTTTGGAAATCCTATGGGACAGTTCTACTCTATCGTATAGAGTCAATTCAGCAGCAAGAGCTAAACTAGTGGTAACAGAAATAGGATATGATATATATATATATGAAATGTTAAATTTTCTAGTGGCTACATTTAAAAAGGGAGCTCTGGTAGCATAGTGGCTAAGGCACTTGACTGCTCACCAGAAGGCTGGCGGTTCAAACCCGCCAGCCACTCCTCGGAA